ACAGCTATCAGCACGGCAGTGACATTTTCCACTGCCAATAATAATGCCATTTTCCACTTTGGAGCAGGAATGCTATTTTTTGTCTTTTCAAAATGCACCATTGTTTATAACAGATACAAATATATCTTCCATAAAGCAAGATTTCATTCTGCAAAGTTAACACTTCCAACAGAATTATTTTGCAACCAAGCTTTAATTTCACATGCAAAAGTCAAAGAAGCTCTAATTCCACATTGTAGCTGAAAGAAAGAGGATGTGCTGCCTTTGGGACATCATTGTCTTTGTTATCCAATGTCTGTTTACTCCCAGAACACTTTCTTCATAACCAACAATGCTCTGGACTTGTACTAAACTGGTGATTTCTTCCAGGAAACACACCAATAAAAAATATATCCCAGAGTCAGGTACTGTGGGTGGCTTTCAGCAGTTTTCAGGCAAGCTAATAATGTCAGCTTTGATGTGCTCCYAGAGTAACTTGTGAGGAAAAAGTTTTTTAAAAGTTGCTGTAAATTTTATTAAAGTTATAAACTGCTCTGCTGGTCTGTTTTCTGTAAACAAGATGGCTATTAATAGATGTGATTTAAAATGCAAGTTGAATTGCACAGACTGGCACACTCACCCTTTTTGGGTGGCTGTGTCCAATTTTACGCTTGTTGACTATGACTTTAATTAACGAGTCATATGAGCTTAGACTGTTTTATTTCTTCACAGTCCATTAAAAAAAAAGAGATTGTTTCTTACTAGCAGCAACAGACTAAAAATCCTACAAGGACAAGCTTTGAAAGAAAGTCTGGAAGAAATCAGTGCAGTGTCAGCCTTGGATATTGAGGTAGGGCAGGACAGGGCAGGAGTCASATCCCTTATCTGGTGCAGCTGGACTGAAATCTCTGTGCTGATTTTTYCTGACTGAGGATGTGATTTTCCTATTTGCACCACACTGCAGCCTTCTTCTTCCAACTTGGGCTCTGAAAGAACACAGGTGGAGATGCTGGAGTTGGCTTCTGGAGTCTGAAGTTTGGGTGGCAGCATGGAATAKCCACCCTGGCTGAGAAGGAGGGAGGTTGAGAGGGAATATTTCTGCTCAATGCTCTGTTGTGACACATAGTTTTGCCTTACTTGAGAGGTAAATCAATTCCTGTAGCTATTCCTAACTTGRCTTGTCTGCCCACCAGAGTGACAGCTTTTAATGCCAGCTGGAATAAGACTGGTGCCATCGCAACAAAAAATTCTCCATTTATATTAATAGGATTAAGTAAGTGATCYGTGGAGATGGCTCATCCCCACTCAAGGCACAGCAACCCTCCTCCACAGAAATGTGTGTGCTTATATCACAGTCCAGAGCAGCCAGTTCTGTCAAGGCTTCACGTTCCCTCCAGTGGGATTTGTCTCTTCAGGATTTTAGCCCTTTAAAAGGTTTTTATCTTAAGCTCTAGAGATGGCTTCTGCTATAACCTGTGGAAAGATATCAGTGTCCCCACACAGGAAAACATCTCCTGTGTCCTGGGCACTCACATCTGCAATTTCCAAATTGTGCAGAAAGAACAGGATGACCCAGAAATTTGGATTACCACTGGTACTATTMCACTAGACAGCTTGGGTCTTGGGTGATACTGGAAATGTAACAAAAGTAATACAAAAATGTGCATTATAGATGGCATTTRAGTGGGTTCCATTTCTGACTCACCTCAGTGTGAGAGAAATCCTCTCCCAGCCATGCTGGTACCACTGATGGCATCGAAGAAAAAAAGCAGTTTTGCAGGAGAAAATTTCCAACTCTTGATATGACATTCTRCTAAATGAAACCGTTTGCTGTCATGTTTGGTGATCAGGAATGAACATGGATCAGGTAGATAAAGATGGTTCTCCATGCCAAACTCTCACATCACATAAAATTCAGATAAAACTTTATTTTAAATGTAACAAAAAAAAAAGATCTCCAAGGGCAAGATACAACTCACTCTGTCTATATCTCCCTGAGCATCAATCCACAAWTCTCTTCATTGCAAGGAAAAGGCCAAATGCCACCAAAATCTGTGTTCTGCAGTGGAGTTTTTGGCTCAACAGTGAGAGTGAGAAGTAAAAAAGCATCTCCTTCAGTCCAGGTCAGCGAGGAAATGTGGAAATCCTCTCCAGGATGAGAAGCTTTGCTCTACAGTGGATGTGCTGATTACAGATGGGGCCTTCACTGYGAGCAGCAGAGATTTCCTCTTTGGATTTTATTTCAGAGCAGTGCAGATTTAGGGATTCATGCCTTGTGTAGACAGTGTAATACAGAAAACCTCAGCCTTCTTTGAGTGCTTCACTTGCAGCTCTTGGATAGTGAGAAACAGTGAATCCTCGCTCCTTGTTTGCCTTTCCCACAAGTTTTATGACTTTAGGACTGCTAAAAACATGTGCTAGGAGAAATCCACAAGTCTAAAACAACAAAAAAAAAAAGTGGCAAAAGAACAAAGGGAGAAGAAAGAAGCAGATTAAAGCAAAAATAAATATGTATCGACTCAGAGTGTTGAAATTCTGCAACATTTAAATAGGTGTTGTTACCAAGCCTCTTGTTCTGAGAAAATCAGCAGCCCCTCACATTTCCTGAGTGCATTGCTTTTCTTCTGTCTCATTTGTGGGAGGCAGCATGTCTAAAACAGAGGCACTGCTTTAAGGTGCTTTAAGGCAACTTCCCCACCGGTTTTGTTTYCAGGCTGCTTTGATTTCCACCACGRCTTTACCTTCAAAGGTTCTTCACAGAGTGCACAGCTGATGGTTCATGTGCACATCCCCAGCCTGGCCAGGAGCCAGCTCTGCCTTTGACACACATTTTTTTTGTTTTATCTTCCCAAATTGAAAGGTTCACGTGCACACAACCCAACACATTTCCCATGGAGTGTCTGTCCCACCTGACCCCTGAGCTTCACTTGGCCCCAGGAATTAATCTGAGCCCAAGAGCTGTGTCTCTTGTGCATTTTCCATTGTTTTCTTTTAGCATTGTACCCCAGACTGCACAGAAATAAACACAGGCTGATACCCATCTGTCAGACTCATTAAAATAACACCTTGAAAGGGGTTAGCAGCATCACTGCCTCACTGCTTCTGACTTACTCAGAGCGTTCCTGAGGGGAAGTTATCAGCAGAAATATCCCATGTTGACATATCTTCACCCATCCCAGCCCTGGGACASGTTCTGCCCTCTGAATATCCTCCAGAAATAACCCAAAAGTCCATTGTTGAAGCCCTCAGGGAGGCTGCCCATCTCAGACACGGGCACCTTTCTGCCTTTTCTGGATTCTAGCTGACCCAGCTCCAAGAAAAAGCAAAGCTTGCACAATCAGGATTACCTGCCCAACTTCACCTACCAAAAAGAAACCTGAAGGATGYAAGCTTTAAATCTGCAACAAGCAGCACTTTTGGCAGGCCACATTCGAGTGACCAGTGCAAGCTTCACACTTTAATGCAAATGGAAGTCATTAATTTAACGTGGTTATTTTTAGCAGCTGCAMAGCTAAGGAAGAAATGGTGCTTGCAGAGCCAGGAAAAACATAAATAAGGGTGGTATGGCATCTCTGCATCCCCCCTTGCACTGCCACACAGGACCATCGTGGACCTCATACCCCAGAGGAAATTACAACAAGCCATGAGCTTTTATTTTTAGAAAAACTGGTGGTGTTGGGTCCAGCAGGCACCTCACACCATGGAGTTTCCTTCCTTCCTTCCTTCCTAAATTCCTTCCTTCCTTCCTAAATTCCTTCCTTCCTTCCTCCCTCCCTGCCTTCCAAAATTCCTTCCAAAATTCCTTCCAAAATTCCTTCCAAAATTCCTTCCTTCCTTCCAAAATTCCTTCCTTCCTTCCAAAATTCCTTCCAAAATTCCTTCCTTTCAAAATTCCTTCCTTCCAAAATTCCTTCCTTCCAAAATTCCTTCCTTCCCAAATTCCTTCCTTCCCTTCACCCTGAGGTGTCACCCAAAGGAATCATGATTTTTAAAATGTGAAAATGCTGTGGGAGAACTCTCTCAGGCAAGTCTGTAACTGGGAGGATTTCCAGCTTCTGGAAAAGAGAGATAAAAAGGACAACTGAAAGAAAAAGAAATCATATTTGTAAAGTCAAATCCTGTACAATGGGGTCAGGAGCATTTGTCAAATAAAAGGAAAACAAACAGGTTCCCAAAAACCCTGCCATGTAAATGTACATGGTACAAAAACCCTAAATGTAAATGCCATTTAGCTTAATTAATTTTCTAGTATGTGCCTTCCAATGCATGTGTTACCCAAAGCATACTTAATTTGATAAAAACATTGAATAATTAGCTTAGGCATTTAATGAATCCTTATGTGATAATATATTATATACCTCCATCATCATGCACAGATGACATAAATACATCCCAGAAAATGTTTTCTTGATGGGGAATTAATAGAAACATACCTACCAAAAAAAAAGTCTCTAAATTTTAAAGTAAAAATAGAAATAATTAAACTCAACAACTACTGAATTGTAAGCAATTCTGCATTTCCAGTGCAGAAATATACATCATTAATGATAACATGACCCATAAGAACAGACATATGTAGGTCCAGCCCTGCAAAGCCAAGCTCACACAGCCCTTCAGGAAATAAAACATTGATCTCCAGGATCTGAATTTCTCACAGAGCAGCTTAAAAATGCTTCCATGTGCTTAAATATGAGCTACACTCCCCAACCTGCTGGGTTCAGGAGTTACATGGATGACAGCTGGTGCAAATAGTGAAAGATTTGTTTCCTAATTTTCTTATATTTTAAAGTGCAAATACTGAAAGATTTGTTTCCTGATTTTCTTCTATTTTAAAGTATGTTCTTCTCACATGCAAAACAAATGCAAGTGAAACAGCTGAAATCCTGTTTKTCAGAGGAATATCTACCTCCAAAATCCATAATCCCAAATAAGAATGGGTTTATCACRGTGGCCTCTTCTGGCCCTCRAAAAAAAAACAGTGGYCTTGGTGTCTGCTTGGAAGAGGCATCAAAAGGAGCATCTGCTTGTGCAAATATTCAATTTATTTATTAAACTGGCCAGAAAAATAACATCACAAACTGCTCTAGATACCATACAAAGCATGTTTAAAAATCCTTCAGTTATGTATGGGTTTATAAAAATAACTTACAATAATATTTCAGAAATCTCAGTAGAAATATAAGAATTTGTTCCCAGGYAGGAATTTAGGCATAAGGCATTCTGCCCACAGCCACAGTTCACACCATTTACTGAACTCCCAAGAACCATTTCATGAAATTAATCCAAACCTTTCTGCTAAAAGAGAGGGACACAAAACCAGATTTTTGCTATTTCTTGACAGTTATAAATGCAGATTATCCAACACAGGAGGGATAGTCAAAAATCYGGTATTTTCCATGGAAACCTCTGTTTTAAAAGTATTGTTTTCTTAATTAAACAACATAAAACATCTCACACGTGGAACTAAATACAACTTTTAGACCTTATCTATAWAAGAGATATTTCACTATTGGTTTTTGGAGTTTGGTTGGAGGATTTGTTTGTTTGGTTTTTGTTTTTTTTTGTTTATTCTATGGGCTCAATGATCTCAGGGAAATCTCAACACTTTTGTGTTCAGTGGCCAGTTTAGACCTGAATCAGTGCAGCTTATGACAGCTCATCTGGAAAGAAAGAAATTCACTCATATTTAATAAAGTTACACAGAGTTCTTGGAARTATCATTCATTCAACACTGGAATTCTGTCAGCTCCAAATTGGATTCATTATAAATCACATAAACTTCAAGAAAGATAATCACATCTGTTTTAGATACRTGATTGTTACTTTCAGGGAAGAAACCAAACAACTTTCTGTACCAAAAGGCCTTGATAAATAATTTTCCTTTCTCACTGAGAAGAATTTTTTCACAAATAAGGCTCTCTAAGTAAAAAGTCACAATGGAGTCAGTTTGAAAGGCAAAAATTACATAATTTTAGATGGCATTAAGCTTTTCCATGAGGACACCTTGCATTTGCTGTGTCATGGCCCAGCACGTGGAATTTTACCTGATACAATAATCTGAACCTGTGGGGATTTTTGTGAGTTAGGAAGTTCTTTGTTCTGAAAAGAACTAGAAAGGAGTGTGCAGGGAAAAAAACTAGAGAAAAATAAAGCCAAATCCAAACAGTTGCTGYCCAGCTGTGCTAGCAGTTCTTCTGTCAGTGCCCACCAGACAATGCAGGCTTCAGGCTGTGACTTCATGAAAGCATTGATGAAATGCTCTGCTAATCACTACTGGACACTCAAAATTCCCATTGCATTGCTAATTGCCAGCCCATCACCACCAGTGACCAGCTCCCACTGAAAGCTGAGTGAGCAGCTCTCCTCCTCRGGATGGAGTGTCCAGGTAAAGCTCCTCTCATTTCTGCAGCTGTCMCAAATCCTTCTTTCTGAATCTCAGGATTTGGATGCTGTGATGACAGTCAGTCTCTGGCAGCAGCAAGAATGGGGCTCTTTAACCTCAGCATCCACTCACAGTGGTGCTTTCACCAGAACGCTTGGTCACCGACAGGGTGGTGAACACCTTGAGAGAAAACAGAAAAAAAAAACTCTTAGTATAGCTAATTTTCTTTTTTTCCTGTAAGATTAACTTGGGCACGATACTCAAAACAGCAGCCATTTCTTAAAGTAAGAAAACAATAATGAAAATCATACAGTTAAAATCCTTGCCACTAACAGCACACACACAAATAACTTTTGTTCTCCTCATTTACCTCATGTACTTCCCTTTACAGAGGAAAAGAAAGAATTAAGGAAGTCACATGGCTTTACACCACCTCTTGTCTTAATGTTCCTAAGTTTTTACAGTAGGAACAAGCTCAGCAATAATAAACTCCAGCACACCTAATGAATAAGTGTCTTTATGGCTCAAAGAAAACATCTTTSTATGGGAAAGTGAAGTTAACTCAAGGTCTGGGCATTTGGAGAGAATTTTGCCTTTGTGCCTTTCYAGACATTACAGAAATGTGGAACTGATTGCTGATGTAGATATTATGTCTGAGATCTGTGTCCTCTCGACAATAGCTCTGAAAACACTCAGTAAAACCAGCGTGAAAAATTCCAATCTTTACTGCTTTCAAGTCACATTAAAGAAAACAACATATTCAAAAACAATTATCGTAAAATTAACAGATATTAAAAYTGAGGAAGAAAAATTCTACAAAAACTTGTTTAATACTAGTACTTTGCTATGCAAATTACTGCAGTGTTTTGCATATATATAATACAGAAAGGAAAAAAGAAAATCAGAACCACCGCTATCTAAATGCTTCAAAGTTGCAATAATTAGCTATCATCAAAGCCATCTCTCAGGAAGAATAAACTTAGCATAGAATAAAGTACATACACATTTCAACTATGCAAATAGCACTGAAATATCTAAAGATAATGGGGATCAGACAGATCTATATTGCTCTGTGTAGAAGCTTTGCTGCATTAAGGCTGCTAGCAGCTCTTCAGAGAGCAACATCAATAAATGATAAACCTCTTCCACTTTCTATAAGCACATAAAGCATTATACACAAATCAGGAAGACAAATGCATATCTAATATATGTGGCAGAAAAACAGTGACTTTTGAAAATAAAGTGTATGTCTGGAGAGAGGGGTTTGAACTTTTTATTTCTGGTCCAAAGTCTGACAACTTATGGGAGTCTTCATTTATTGTTATTTCACTTCAAAAGACCAAAGCACAAAAAGCACAAAATTTATCTGCTTTCCTCCTGGCCAGACTGCAAGCTCCAGGTGTGGGAGGGGACCACACTTCTCTCTAGAAAGCCAGCTGGAGTCGTTTGATTATTACTGGAAACATGAATTTTTKGACAGAATTTGCCCATTATTTAAGTGAAGACAAAACCTTAGACCCAATGGCTGGAAAGACACGATTATCTACTTGAAAGAATCACCCCAGCTTTCAGAAGACAATTTCTCTCCCTCCCAGATGCTCAATTGTACCCCCTGAATATCAGGCAGCACAGTGCAGTTGAGGCTGAGATTAAATTCTCTGGAGGGCTGAGGTCCCACCAGCTCTGTGCTCGCAGTTATTTGGACTTCACCTCGCAAGAAATTCTACTCTGAACTCRTGTTTGCTGCAGAATAAAAAGGCTGCTCCAAGGAGAGAAGTGAAATCTGGCTCTAAATTGTAAGCAGTGAGAAAGGGACCCTCAGTCTTAAGGTTTTCTTCAAGTGGAATAATTCCATGTCTCACAGGAAGCTCAGCAATTAATTAGCACTGGTGCCAGGGAAGATGTCAGCATTTGACCCTGTGACACTGCCCCTTTCCTGTTCAAATCACACTTCATTTTCCTTAACTTTTACAGAGATGTAACAAAAGCAACAGTGATATTATCCATCATTCTATTCATCCAATATGCTCACTCCTCACAGCTTTTAAGCATTTTTCTAATCAAAGAGTGCCATCTTGCACTTTGATTTTTGTTTACTGCTCAAGAGATTAAATTAAGGAAAAGCATAAAAAAAACCCTTTTGAAGACTGTCACTAAAAATGATCGCTGTTCCCTGGAGCTTTTAAATAGCTTATTTCTCCTGAGCCAATTTCTTCCTCCGCCACTCAAACAAATATGATTAYATGAAATTACCTCCCTGAATTATGTCTAATCATCATTCTATTCAGTTTCAATTTTAGCAGCTCAGATGTCCAGAATAAATTATGACTCTCATCCTCCCTTCACACTGCATATGCTAATACCCCACTTGAGTTCACAGGTTTGAATGTCTGGCTCAAAGAGCCCCCTCCACAYAGGGGAAGATAAGGAMCTGCTGCCCCTCTTCAAGGGCCTCMAAAAACACCATAGATGGTGCTACCAAGAGCAGAATCTGTTTTGTGGATGCTTTGAAGATGGTTCAATGGAATTCTTATTGCATTGCTTTAACTAAACCACCATGAAAATAGGAAACAAGAAAGGTGGATGTCACTTCTGCAGAGCAGAACCCTTGTAATACTTTATATTTTACACAACCAGAGATTCTGCACAAAGATTTACACAGGTCATAAACAAGCTTTCAGGGATCCTCAGCTGATGTAAACTRGTCCTAATGCAGCTAAAATTAATTTCTGATTTAAATCTCTGATTTACATCTGGGAGGAGCTGGGCCACACCTGCTAGAGAAAACTGAGCTCTTCATCAAAGAGGAGCAGCAAGATAAATGGARGAAAAAATGTTTGTGTAGCTTCATGAACTGAAGGCCTACAGAATAAARATCTTGAAGAGGAGAGAGTTTAACAGAAAAATTGTCATGTAGCTGGTCCCCTTCCCCAGCAGCAGTTTGGAAGCCTATTTTGAGCACACTAATCTGACTTTGACAACCATATCAGCAGAAATAGTATTTGAAGCCTTCATCATATTGAGTTGGAGAAAGAATCTATACTCCCCAGCAGATAGAGAACTGGATTAAGGGACACCATAAACTTTTCACAAATGAACACATTTTAGAAAGAATTGAATATCCCAGACTAAAACCAAGTGTTAGAATTCTAAAGATTAAAACCAGACAATTTCCTATCCTTTCCTCCCCACTACTTTCCCACAAATTTGGACCTTTTTGATAGAGCTCTGTTGTTCAGATTTCCARCACCTTASCCCAGAATGTTGTGAAAGCTGGGCTATGAGATGGCTTTGCATACAAACCTCTGCACAGACAGGATGAATTCCCACKGTGCTGTCCAGCTGTTCTTTTGTCAGCCCACATTTAATAGCAGCTGCAAACCCTTGGGTGACTTCTCCAGCATTTGGACCAAGGACATGGAAACCAATGACTCTCTCCTAAATGCCAAAGGTAATCAAATGCAAGCACAGTCATGAATTCATTTAGACAACGTGTAAGGTTTTCTTACTCATAACATATAATACATCAAAAATTAATGTAACCACTAAAATGTGAACTATCATTAGCACCAACAGATGGGAGATGGTGTAATTTTATTCCCTCTCTGCAAAGATTCAACCAGGAACTCAGGAGTCAGCTTCCTTACAAAGTTTTGCACAGGAGTGCATCAAAAGCACATGAATTTAATTTAAGCATCATGTGTGTCCAAAGCACAAACTTTATAAAACCCATATAAAACCATATAAATGTCCATATAAAACCATAGTAATGAAACCAAGGTAATGAGAGTTTAAATAGTTACTGAACTATTTTTTTTTTCCAGGGTAACTTTCAGCCCTACACCTAGATGTTTAAACATGTTTCAAATTTTCAGGACATGAAGTCAAAACAAATTAATGAAACACTTTAAATCACTATTAAACCTCCGCATTTTTTAAAGCAATTTTGATTAGAACATAGCCAGGGGTTCTAAGATATCTTCCACACTACTGCAAACTCCTCCAGAAAGAGGAGATGGGCAAAAACCAACAGGTTTGCAAGTTTTACAAAATGGTGACATCATGCTTAGAAAGACTGCAGGAAGATAAATCTGCATCTAAGGAAAAATAAATGGAGGTAAAGGAAGTTTTGGGTTGTTTTTTGTTTAGGACAGATAGCTATGATACCATCTTAACAGGAATACCTTTTCATAGCACATTACTCTTCATAATAATTCATGTTATTAAAATTAACTGCATTTATTGAACAGATGATGATCATTCTGAGATGGGCACAYCAATTCTTTTAACCAATACTACTTTTGCTTTTGCTTCAGCAGGTACTRGATGTTTCCATTGCCAGGAAATTTCATCCTAGTCCAGGGATAATCCTGGCATTATCACCCTAAAGGAGATTTGTGCAGCCAAGATACGTTATCCTTAGATAAATTATCTTGTTAGAACAAGCTCAAGAGTTTTAAGAACACGTGCARTTTTGGAGAGGTTACAAATTGTGATGGTTTCTGAGATACCTCAACTTCAGAGAGAAGAATCTCCCAGAAAAGAATGTCCACATTTGGGGAGGAGAGAATAAACCAATAAAACTCCTAACCATTTTTATCTGCATTGATTTGCTCACTTCTCAAAGTTAATGAACAGTCTTAAAGATCTCTACTTCTTATTTTTCATATCCTTATAGAAGTGCCATATACAAACAGGAATGGCAGAATTTTGCATTTTACTGGGGGTTGGTTTTGTATACACGGAAGTATTGTATCACTATAAATATTTATTGCATTTCAAAAGGTAGGCAAATTTAAATTAATTTRAATTTGTTAAAAACAACCTATTTATAGCTGTTGTATCATCAGCAGTCCTTATGATAAACATWCAGATACCATTTTCCCTGAAAGAAAGATGCACTTACGTTATCTCGAATATTGCAAATTATCTTTGCATAGCATTTGTTGTTATCTCTGGATGGCACAGTCCACTCCAGGGGCCAGAAATGACTATGGTACACCTAGAAATAAAACACAGGTTAAAAATTTCCAAGCATGATCTTCCAAAAGTTGCCAGATTATCCTCAGTAATGAGCTATGYACAGAACATTTAGATTACCTGAAATCATCATGATAATTTTTTCCCTTGATGAATACCRAAGAAAATCTCCACAAAACAAATACTAGTGTCATCCAATAATTTTAAAAGGGGAAGCCATGAGAATATTACACTTCCAGGACACAGTTCACCATGCTCTTATTAAATTACAAGCTGCTCAATGATCTTACTGAGGCTTGCAATAACAAAAAGCCAATAAGGTGACACAATATAGAAGTCAGTGTTTCATGAATAACATCAAGAATTTCACTCAATAACAAAAATGTGGCTGGGTATACACAAAGTTTGTGGGCAGAAAGGCATTTAAGCCTTTGCCCTGTGGTCAGGTAAACAGTGTTTTACACGCTGCCATTTTGGGTTGTATTCATTTATTTAACTCCACTCTTATTTATAATAAATAAGATATATAATAATAAATTATAATATAATATAAAATAATAATAAACTCTTATTTAACTCCACAGTCCTATCCAGAAAATGTCACCTGAGAGGGAGGCAAATTCTCAACTTCATGAACCACCACTTACCTGCTTATTTCTGCAGATAATGCTCCTCAGGTGATATTTGCAGGGCCTAAAATTCAGGTTATTGAGAGATCTCCCCTCATGCTTTCTGTAATATGGTCAGTACAGCATTTTGGAAGAACAGCCTCAGGCACTGAGTGCTTATTTATGTCTAATTTCACTGCTGAGCAGCAATCCCAGGGAATGAAAAGGGATTACTCACGTGAGGACAATTAAGCACATATATACTATACTTTGTRCAGTCAAAATAAACAGGGAAAATGAGCACAGCATTTGGCTTTATGAAGTAAAATTCACTATGGCAAAGAGTTTGCCATGCTGTAGGTACAAAAGCTCCACTTTGACATAAAAACCACTGTATTGCTTCCAGCACATATCCAGCTTAAATTTATCCTGAAGTATTTGCAGACACAAAGAAATCCTTTTTCTCTTTTTTTTTTTTTTAAACAAATATTCCACCTTCAAGCCCCTGTTTGCCAAAAATAGAACATATCTACAATTAGAGCTATTGGAATTGAGGATTATTTTTATAACATGTCCAGGAATAGCCAAGGAAGACAAAAAATATACCTACTCACCTCCTGCCCTTACATCAGAGCACAAAATGCTATTTTAATTGACTCTTAACATTATTTTAAATTACAAACTAAAACCCAGATGAAATTAAGGCATTTACCTCAATGTTTTCCTCCCCAAATTTCTCCATTGCGGTCTCTTCAGAGTACCCACAGGCTCCATACTCCAGAGGAGTAAATACAGTAGTTGGAACATTCACATAGTCACACTGTATGGCATTCAAAACAAAACAAAAAACCCACACAACATCAGTAATAAAACCAGCATACAGCAGTCTGAAACACAGGAAGAAAAGCTCAATTATTCACAATTCTGAAAGCTCTTTTGTTTGTTTTTTTTTAAATTGTCTTAAATTAAGGTACAGTTTTGTGTTTTTCCATTCCAGAGGTGTTAATTAGAGCAAAACAAAAAGACGATTTAAAACCACACTAACATTGGTAAGCACAGATTAAATGGAAAAGGAAATCCAGTGCCCCATTTTAAAAATGTACCAAATCACAGGATGAACTGGAGATAAAAAGTAGCCTGTTTGAACATGTTATTTTGAGTTGGGGATGCTGCAAAGGCACCACTACCATTCCAAACTCATTTTTCATCAGCTGKGATGCCAAAGAACCAAAGGCATGAAGTACAGCCATTTGGGGGGACAGTGAAAACTTGTCACTTCTCCCAGTTTTGTATCATCTCCAAAGTTTTTGAGGGTGCACTTGTGCTCATCATGCAGMTCCATGAATTTGGATGTTAAATAGCACTGGAGCTGTGTCCAGCCCTGTTTCACATCACCAGTGACCTGCCTTCAGCTGCCCATTGTCACACTGGTCACAGCCCTTCAAGCCCATCCCTTCAGCCACTTTTCACCCCACCTCAATTTGTCTGTGACAATGGCATGAGAGACAGTGCCAAAAGCCTTTACTAGACTCAAAATTAACAACCATCCACTGCCCTTCCTTCCCATAGCCAGCAGATGAATCATTCTGCCATAGCAGACTGGCAGGCTGGGCAGCTCTATTTCATTTCTAGCTATTTTATTTTCTACATATTTCAACTCGAATTAATTTTCTTTGTGACTGGGGATTAACTAAGATGCTGATTGTTATTCCTTCCCCACCTATCCATAACACCTCATTACATTTCAATCACCTTTTCCAGATTTGTTACAAAGGCAGTGTGAGCCAYGTTCCCATTTAAGTAGTTACTCATTTCTTGGATTCAGTGAATGAGATGATGCTTCCTTTGGCAGCATAAGGATTTTTACACCTTGAGAGACTTTTCTGGCATAAAATATAAATTAAGACATATCCATAGCATTGCAGCAACAAAAAAAATCTGGCTTCTACTACAGTTTCCTAAACCTTGCCTGGCTAATTCAATGACACGATGAACACTGATTCAGGATTGTGTTACTGCAATACCTGCCAACATAAAATAAACAACTCAATCAAGCTCTAAATGTGACTGGTGGTTGAACTTGCTATGAATACAGCAGGGTCTGAAAGAGAAAAGCYTTTTTGGTCATGCCATGTGGTTATGGAGGTGAGACAAGCACCAATATCAGTGTAACAGTTCTTTAAAGAACTGTTTTAAAAAACCTCTCCTCCTGCTTTTAACATAARGTGTCAATGAGCACCCACATTATTCCCATTTGAACAACCACAGCCTGGCTGAAACCCAGACCTTCACTGCTAAGAAATACAAGCACTGAATCCATTAATTCAACTACTCAGGTACAAAGTTATTGATATTGAATTATTGGTACATCTGATCAGCCTTTGTGTCCATATTTAATTACAATTAGGACTGTGTATAGTCATGAAAACATACAGATGAGAAGTGAATAAAATTAGTGGAAATAACATTGAAAATTAAGAGCATCACAAACTCTTATTATACCCTATTTGGGGACCATAGGCAGGTTTAGTAAGCTGCCTTTAAATYGGTGTTAAAGCACTTAACAGGATGGGAAAGATTGCTGACTTTTAGGGAAGGCAATAGAATTAAAAACAAGTTAAATGATTGATCTCTGTTAGTTTCATTATACTCTGAGAGAAAAATAGACCCTCTTAATAGGAAAAAAAAAAAAAGACTACTGCTTAATCCATAAGGTATTAATTTCATCCTACACAATTAGCAGAACACGTCTGCAGTAATATCTTTGCCAGGGGAAAAATTAAAATGATCATCAAAGCTAATCCTTAAAATTCGCCTGTGTTTTCTATAAACAAGCAGACTCGCACACTGCACTCAGAAATTGAGCAGTGGCAGGTTTTTTTACCTTAGTGGTTGCCCCAGCATAAAGCCTCTGGACTAAGAGCCTTCCTGCCTGGATGGCCACGGGTGTGAGCTCCAGCTTGTCCTGCAGGATATCTCCCACAGCATAGATATATGGCACATTTGTCTGCTCCTCGTCGTTGACAGGAATTTTTCCCGTTCTGCAATTGGAATGAACAAGAGGAAAAGATCTRAGAGTTCTGCTGTGAAGATTGGAGGTGTAAATAACCTTGCAGGAGTCAGGACCCCCAGCTTGAAGAGAAAGATTTGTATGTGAAGTATGAGGGAAAGAATTCATATTCATAATCTTACAGTCTTGGGCAGGAATATAAAGTARGGCAAATTCGACTAAAATGATGGGAATTCACACCCTGGATGAGGAAGAAACCTGAGGAGCTGTGATTCATCTCCTGAATCACTGAGGTGAGGCATAAACCTTTTCCTGAAACACCCTCTGCCAGCAGCTTCCAGGAATGACAGGAAGAGACATTCTCCCACTCCACTTGCAGGACAAAACAATTTTCCCWCTGCTGAAATTTCAGTCCAGGAGTTGAAGCTGTTGATAGAAACTYATCCTTCAGGCTCCTGCACAGAGACAGGTCAGGCTGCTACACACCCTACCTAAGGGACAGCCAGCACGCTTTTTAGCTGTGAGTGCACTGAGCTAATRGAAGTTTTTAATTATTAATATTTCCTACTTCATCAATAAATGAGATGGTGCAGTAATCACCACAGGAAACACATGTAACAGGGACACCTATTCAGAGAGACACAGAAACAGYCACACAGTTCATTGAGAGACCAGTGGCAATTCCCATATTAAAAATCCAATTTTGCACTTAACAATTATACAGTTTATGTTAATAAGTTTATAGTTCATTCTACTAAGCTAGTAATATGTGTCCTGACATCAGAAAGATGTGTRCTGTTCTACTGAGGACCAAAATTTGAGAGGAGCACAGTTTCCACTTATTTGGAATACCACAACTGTTCACTTTGACATCATCAGTTACTGTATTCATATATAAAAACTCTGCATTGTGTCAAGTTCATGGTCCCATGTCTTTTCTTCAAAGGGAAGATCTTTGAAGACCCACATGCCTGGAAAATATTTTAGTTACCAATGTTGAAAATGTTACTGATAGCTCCACTCCCTGGTGCAACAACCTCACTACATTAAACATCAAATACAGTCCTACAGGAGGCACGGATTGTTCCCAAGGGCTGCTTCAAGGCAAGAAATAAACTCCTCCAAAACCTAAAACACATCAAGAACTTGTGAGGTTAAGGAATGCCACTTGAAACTTACCTTTCAAAATAACAAATAGCAGCATTTACATTAAAATATAAACAAAACTCATTGCTCTAAAAGCCTGTATGAACAAACAGATTTCTGCCCCAAGAGGTGATTAAAGCAAGGAGACAAGAAAAAGAGAATAAGAGGAACAACAGATCCTAGAAAATCCTGTAACTGGAAGAAAACAAGACAGATCAGTGAACCTAGACAGAATGGAACAGACACTTCTTTTCTCCCAGGAATTAGAAATAGCCATTTCAGCAACAAAAAAAAAAGCAAATGTAGCAGCACTGTGGGGGAAAATGCAGCTACCTGCTACATAGTCTCCCATCCAAGTGAATTCAAAGAGAGGACAAATTTTTCCTCCAAGCTTTTGGATGTCTCTCCTTTTTGGATGTMACAGGACATGACACAAGCTCAGCAGAGAGTGGCACACTGACATCTGTCCTTACTTTTCGTTGATTTTCACTCCCACTTTGTCCAAACCGATTTTTCTGGTGCAGGGATCTCGTCCGATCGCCAGCAGCACCTGCAGAACAGCAGTGCACGTTGCTGATTTTTCAAAATTCAAAATTGTATTTTCCTCAGGCTATTATTTTCAATATATACTAGAGATTTGTGTGTAAGGCCTGGTCACAGTAAGATGAATACATTTGTTACTCACTGTACATTCACAGAGTTTAAGACAAGCCACACTATCACCAYGACCTAACAACACCAGATTTTAATGCTAAGGTTAAAAGTAGTTAAATAGCTTTCCCTAGAAAAAAAAAAAATTAAAAAAAGAAAACCTGAAGAATATTTAAAACAAATCAGCTATTCTAAATAAAGATTCTTAACAAATTCTTTAGTTCCTTCCAGTTTTATATCAAAGTGTGATATCCTTTTTATATCCTTGCCAGATCAGGTGACCTCAAAATGCTYCATAAGGAAAGGGCTCTTTAGGAAAGAAAATCAGAAGCTTAAGCAAATAAAAATACCATAAAATTGTATTTTTTTTTTAATCAGAAAATGTAATTTACTTATATAGGCTCTCAGCCAAGTCACTGTCAAAGAATGTATTTTTTTAATTTTGTTTTTTTTGAGCATTTGTTCAGACCAGGACAAATTTTACCCATCCTACCAACTCTGCAATCTTAACAAGCAAATCAAATTCCAACTTTTGGAAAACTGCTACATGCTTTCTAGTCTTGGACAACTGCCCAGGTAAATATATATGATGCTTCTCATATGACAACTAAGAACTGTCCTGAAGGAATCCTGAGATCTCCTTCAAGCCTTGTAGATAACCAAACACAAATCTTCACAGCTGAGGATCTTAAAATGCAGCACCTACAGGTCACAGCTTCTGTGAGGAGTGACAACATTCAGTGAAAGATGTAGCAATAAGRAATCAGAAGTTTCCTTAATGAAGGGATGGTATAGATTTCCTTGCTAAAAAGCTTTCACTATTGTGGACTAGAAAATAAAACCAGTGTTACAATCCTGGGCTCTGCAATCTTTGTTAAACTTGTGTTGAGGGTGTCCTTGTTAGRGGGTGACTGATGCCCTGTACAGGTAAATGAGGCCACTGGCACTCAGGATTTGCAGTCTGAAGTATCAGGCTGGCAAAGGGCAGTCTTTATGCATTCATGTAGCTCCAAATACTCTATTCTCAAAATTTTTTTTTTGTYCTTTCAGCATCAAGGCCTATGAAAATGAGTGGGGTGAGGTGTGATGGAAACAGTCAATCAAACACACAATGCCATACCTGCAGACCACAATTTTCCTCTTTTCAGTCTCTAATGAAGTTTCCTGACTGAYTTGCCACTGTTTTTGTGAAGATGTGTGAACAGCAGCTCTTGACAYGACATGCCACCACCCATTTAACTTCTGCACAGACCATTGTTTTTGTGCTGACTACAAAATGTGCCTTAATTACTGTGAAAGCTATTATAAATCATTAGTTATCATTTATTACAAACATCCCACTGGGAAAAACTGCTGCAGTTGATTCCATGTGACCAAGCTCATCTATAYCCCTAAGCTAAGAAACAGGTTTCAAAAGCATGCAAACTGATTTGGCAAGGCATAATGACCATGGACTTTGGAATTATTTTTTTTCAGATTAATTATCTGCTGATTGTGTGCAATTAGCATATTGTCATGACTGAAATAATTATTAAAAATCTGAAGTGTGGCTGAAAACACCTCACCAAATCTCAACATTTGGAAGGCTATTTCACATTCTTCATGCACATAGATAGGACTCACAGTGTTGTATTCTCCTTCAATTATCTGRTTCCCCGTTGTGGACTTKGCTGTRACCTTCAGTATTCCAGGAGTTCCTTCCTTAACCTGCTCAACCTACAACATTTTGGGGGTTGAATGGTGGRRAAAAAAAAAAAAAAAAGTTTAGTTTCAAATAAAAATATTCAAATTTATATTTTTCCCACCACATATCATTGAGAGTGTTTAACCATGAACTAAAATTAAGCATTTATTCTAAAGATTCTTTCCATTTCTACTTGCATATATTAATATGCTGGTTTATGTACTGCATTTATTCTTATGGCCAACACAATAAAACCTGATTTCTGTTTATAAAAGTGGACTGATGGTTAAGTTCTTGTCCAAGCCCACCTGTTTTATCCACTGGGTACAGAAGAGGAGAGTAGGAAAGAAACTCTTACAAGGCATGGAAACACCATCAGACATTTTCTCCAACTGTGCCACTGTTCCTTCCACTCATGGGAAGCCACTGCCACAGAGAGCCCTCAGCAGTACAAAAATGAGACATGTGAGAGTGCCACACTTAACCTAATTCTGGGAAATTTTAGTGTTCATCCTACAGAGGAAAAGCTATTTCTCAACAACACCCTCAGTCTCACTTCATGTTCAGCATTTAGAGGCAGAAAAAGCAAGATTTTTGATGATGTTTTTATTCCTGTCCAGTTTTTTAATTGAAAAAAGCCAACTTTGCCACCTTACCATCCTTAAAGGATCAGTATGCCAAACTGCTCCTGTTCAAATGCAGCATTACTTATATATTATTTATAATATTATATATTATTTTCAWWTTTTTTCTTCAAATGAAAGGTTTTAATAAGCACAACATGCATAACTTCAAACACAATGTTTGAAAGAGATGAGCAAACCTGCTAAAAGCCTATCCAGCAACATAAGTTGAAGGATATTCTCCATTAGCACCAGGGCCAAATGTTTTATTCTCATTAAAATTAAAGACATATAGTGTAGGGACAGAGTAAAACACACAAAAGTGAATTTTGTGACTGTGGCAATGGACTGCTCATCACAGGATGCATCTGGAGGAGCCAGATCTGCTTGTAAAAACAGCTTCCCTTCTTTCTCATCCCCCATTAGAGCCCTCAAAAACTGAGTGAAACAAAAGCTGGACCATCATCATCCCTGCTTTTCATACAGCATGGGATTTATGCMATGGAAATATGCACAAAAATGAAATTCCTTGAAATACTTCTCACAGCAGCTCTCATTCTGTGAGAAAGGCTCAGAGCCACAGTGGGAACTGGCAGGAGCATTTTTAAAGCTGCTCTTGGTACTGCAAAGAGGGGAAATGAACAGTTTTCACTGAATTTAATGTTTTAATCCCCAAAGTGTTAAACTCAGTAACACGCTGGTTTAACACCAAATTGAAATTGYTTAATGCATGATTTGCTGTTTCAAAATAATTAAGCACTATTGGGAAAAAAAAAACATAAAGAAAAATAGTTAGGACCTCTGAAGTCTTTGATAGAGCAATTTTGCATAACAAAAGCTCCAAAATTTTTTAAACAGATATAAAATTCAACCTGAATTTGCCTGTATATGTGCCTATACACACATGTAACTAGCTGCACGAGCACTCTGACTGAATTCAACAAAAATTGAGCAAATATTTAAGGACTCTGCCATGCAGAGGATACAGATGGATAYTTCTAAAGCCCATTTACTTTTCTGGATAGTCCACTGATCCTTGGCATATAAACACTATTTGCCAGCTGAGAATTTGAAAACTGGCAATGAAAAATGTGRCTATTTRTGATGCACTGGACCCTGATCTTAGRAGAAATTATGTATCTGTTTAATTATGGGCCTGTAAGGAGTTTCACAGATTTCAGGACAACTGCTGAATTTAAGTATATTCAACGTTTGCAGAACCAGGACGAGCAGGTGTAACATTTTCAATGCAACATATACTAACCCAACTAATTCTGATACAAACAATGAATTTTGAAATCTCATAGTATTTTAATACTAAGATTAAATCATACTTTTCAATTAATTGAGATTCATGGACTTAATTTAAAACAAAAAATTACCCATTTTATATCACAGCACATAATATAAGTTCAACTTCGTATTAATTAAAATAATTTACATCTTAAAACATTATGATAGGTATGTTCTAATCAATTTTAGCCACTTTAAGCCTACCTTGATTGGYACAAACTCCCTGATAAAGTTGACTCCATGTTCTTTCATATATTCTCCAATTTTGTTTGCCATATCCTGGTCAAATCCTCTCAAGAGAATGGATCTCACCATCACAGTGACATCTAATCCAAGGCCTGCAAGAAATCCTGCACATTCCAAGGCAACATAGGAAGCTCCAACCACCAGGGTTTTCCCTGGACAGTAAGGCAGAGAGAAAAGATCATCACTGGGAAAAAAAAAAATGAAAAAGGAGGGGAAAAGGAAAAGAAAGATAGAGGCAGTCAGAAGATTGTACTGTGCTTTATATTTATCTATTTTTTTTCTGTAAGAATAGAACTTTATTCCTTTTCCAGCTCACTAAAAAAAACCCTGCTTAATTTTTTTTTGGAAGTTCATCTTGAATAAAGATCAATATGTGACAGAATAAGAAGTTATATCTAGGAATACACATACAAAAAAAAAACCGAATATGAAAACTCTGAATCACCACAAAAAATGTGGAGGGTTTCTTTAACAAAAATCTAGGATGAATTGTTAAAAAAGATATGTGCTTTTTTTCCCCTTCTGACTATTGTTTTGAATATTTTGCTGCAAATTTTAGCTCCTGAGAACTAAGAGGGAAGGGTTCAGGTTTAAGAGAAAAACACCATCATCACTTTAAAGACTTAYCCTTTTGCTAAAGCATTTTATTACACACAGATTATACAGACAACAAACCACAACAAACCACAGTAACAGGCAAAGATGGAAGTATGAAATTATGGAAAATATRTTCCTTTTCCTGCTTTTCATTTCTTTCAACTGCTTCATCAGGCTRCATCAGTTCTACCACAATTTGGACCCAGGCTATAAAACCAGGGCTCCCCCACAAAGCCAGGGGTGATGGAGGCATCACACTTACTCAGCAGACACTTAGAGTCTGGCAATACAATTCTCTGAAGATTTAAATCTAAAATTTATTGGGGTGGTGAAATAAAACGTGCAATTAAAGGCTGCAGCATTGCTCCTGTACCCAGGAACTCAGTGAAGATCACACAGACAACCTCAATCTGASAGCCTTTAACTCTGGGATTCCTGACTCCTCCACCTTGAAGTTCCTTTAAAGCACCACTTTACAGGCTGTATTATTTGCTATCTTTAATTTCATTACTAYTTATTAGAAAGGAACACCACAAGGTGTTTTGGTTTCAGAGAGATTATGCCAGTTATTTATTTCATCWCTCTAGGTTTGCCAGCCTGTAATTCCAACCTCTTTTTCTACATCAAGCAACTTAGAAGTTACTCTGCTATGAAAACACATTTTATCTTCCTATAACATTTTTGCTTGGCATTAGCAATTAACCAGACACTTGAAAGCAGTTCACTTCAAAGTTGAATTATCTTCACTGAGTAGCTGGAAAAAAAAACCCTTTGCTGAGTTTCAAGACTGCCCCAATGCATTAAGACAGATTTCTACCAACCTCATCAGCAGCTATGCTATTCCTACTGATATCTGAGGGTGGAGGTTTCTTCCAAGAGCATGCTCCTGAGTGTGGGGAAGCATTTACATGCAAGGAATGACTCCACATTCTCCCATTTTTACCTGCTAATGCAGAATTCCTTGTCTCCAGGCACGCCCAGGTAGCGTGGTCGCTCACCAGTGGCAATGAGAAATCTCTCAGCCGTGTACAGCTTCTCAACTCCTTTTTTGTTTGTTGCCTGCAGACAAAGTGTTAGTGCAAAGTGAATGTTTTACCTGGGAAAAATGATTCTATTTGAAAATCATCTCCATTCAGAAAACACCACAGGAAGACASAGCTGTGGAGTACCTTGATTGTGTGTGGCCCAACAAATTCTCCGTATGCATTCTCAAACGTGACCTTGTTGTCTCTCAGGGTAACCCKATAGCCCCAGTTGAGTGAACCAATGTAATTCTGAACAGATTCTGTCATGGTCATCCAGTTGTGTTTGACTGTCAGAAACAAAAGAGGGAGGTTCATCTTTTACACTGAGTTTTTCTTTTTCCATAGTGAAACTCGTATTCTCAGATTCTTATAATGTCCTGTGGTTTGTCTTACTCCTGTTTTATTTCAGGGCAAATCTACTGAAATTCAAACAATTACATTAGCACAGGCAACAGGAGAGGTCAAGAGGTATGACTTAAAACATTGAAAATTAAGATTTTCTGCATTATTGACAAGTTGATATTGCTGTGAGCAGGTGACAATGCTCAACAAATGAAAACAATGCMTCTGCATGCTTCCCACTACAAGATTACAGGCTAAATAAATCATAATCCTATAAACATGCGTATCAGAGATAATAAAAAGTAAAATCTGTCTTCTTACATAGTAGTGACAGACACTTGGGGAAAAGAAATCCTTGCTGGCAACTCTCAGAAGTTTCTGCCAGGCAGCATTCTGGGGTAGTCCCTTAGATGTTGTGGTACATTCAGAAATGGAAAATACCTTATTGCTTTTATTCACACAACAGTCTCATCAATGACTAACATGATCAGAAGCTATTAATAAAAAGATCAAACATGAAGGCAATAAGCCCCATGACTTTAGACTTGAAAAGCATCTCAATTTACATGAAATCTCAATTCACATGTAATCTCAATTTACATGTAATCTCTCCAAATTTGCCTCACGTTGTTCAAGCCAGCACATGCTTCAGTTCAACAAGCACCTGATTATGAGAATCACCTCATGATTTTCAGAGCAAATGACAAAACTGAAAAAAAGTGTCCTTCTTTACCCTCCTCTGTAAAGTGCCATCCAAATTTGCGTGAATCCTGCAAKGCTTGTCCCAGTAAAGCAGCCTGATGCATCAATTTTTTAGGTATGCAGCCCACATTCACACATGTTCCTCCAAGACCTGAGAGGAAAGAAGAGGTTTTCACATCAGTGTGGCAGATTTCAAATGTGAGAATCAGATCTCTGAGTAAAACTTGTTTACAGCACAATTGCAATGAGGAGAAATTTACCCCATGAGCTTCCCTGAGGTGTAGGTGTGACAAAGTCCAGCACCATCACTTTCTTATCRTATTTGGCAGCCTCCTGCAAAACAAATTAAATAAAACACATATCTAAATATTAGAGGTTAAATTTGGAGTAGRCGATAACATCATGCATTGCTGAAAAGCTTTGTGACTTTTAATTAAGTAACAATGAATGATTTGCAAGGGAACAGGCAGACAGTCWTTAATCTTCTGAATTCATCTGTGCATTCAGCAGGAAAAAAAAGATGAAAGGAAAAAAAAAAAGGCATTCATCCTGCTACAAAGCAGCATGGCACCACCACAGGAGACTCCGTGAGTCCAACCTCCTCTTCAATCCTCCATCCTGTCACTTTGTYCAGACTATTTCCCAATGTCCCCATTTACTTTTAACATACTTAATAAATTCCTAATTAATCCAGTTTTTCCTTCAAAGATGGTTTCTCCAACATTTGTTGGAAACCACATTAGGCAATGACATAAGCAGTCACATGGCCAAGCATGACAACCTTAATGACTCTATGATTCTATATTTCCCCTAAGAAGTTTCATCAGGAAATCTACAATTAATGTCTGTAAATGATGACACTGAGAATGATCTGCTGATTTCATTGCTCCTTTTGTGCTTTTTAAGAAAAAGACAAAGTCAACAGTGGTAACTGCTRCTATGGAAAATCACTTTGGGAAGCTCTGTGCAGCTGAGAAACAACAGCAGATTCCTCCCATGAGATGAAGCAGATTAACTTTGCTACTTGGAGTAGCCACAACTATGCTGGCATCATGTGATGAGTTCTTAGACATACAAGCAGTAACAACTACAGGCACAGGATATTACTCTAAAGRCACAGGTTTGGTTTGGGAGGAGCTGGACAGCCTTCAGCATTTTGTTACCAGTAATACTTGTTAATCCTAACAGCTGACAATCAGAATTCCAATTTTRAATGTGCCTCACTTCATGAAAAATGCAAATCATATTCTAAACAACACAGSTTATAGACACCTTTGGAAACTACTGCTGTGCTGGATTTCCACTTCCAATAAAGATCTAGGTCRGCCAAGATCTTTATGATGCAAATTTCTATCCATTAGCAGCACCTCTGAGAAAGCTCCTCAGAAGGACACTTAGGGATGGAGAGGTGTCATTAAAGCTCCTTTTTAATGGCAATAAACACTGATCCAAAGGGCTCTTGCAGGGTTAGTTAAGCAGAATGCATAGAGTTTCAGACTGCTACACATCACATAACACAGCCCAGCCTTGCATCGCCACCCGGGCACAGATCCCACACTGATATAACCCCCACTCSTGCTGAGTGATTTCCCACAGCCATAAACCTGCCCTGTAGGCTCTCAAACCTTCCAGGGCTCAGTGCAGAGCTGCAGGAACACAGCAAGGCTGCTTAGGGCTGAAACTGCAGCCTTGGATCTGCAAGGCTGGATCTGCAGCTGGGTTTTGCCAAGTCAGCCTGGCAGGGTTAGCCCTCACTGTGCAGACAGAGCTCCAAAMTAAGCACAATGTGGAGAGGAAGATGTGCACACAAAGCTGCATGTGCCACAGTGAAAAGCACACATTGAACCAATCTAGACAAGATGCTGCAAACCTGAGTGTGGATAGCTGGAATTTCACATGAGAGTTGTGTAGCTGGGGGGTTTTTCTTCTGTTTTGGTTCGGGCTATTTTAAAGCACTGTTYGTTAATTTACCAGAAAAACATTGAACAATCTAAGCAAAAGTCTGAGGTTGATGTGTGTGAAACAGCTTCACTTCAACTACATGAAAGAGATTTGAAATGCACACATTAGTACCGATAGTGATGTTGACTTTATTGATCTGCAGTTTTCTGCTCTGCTCAACCATCAGTTGAGAACACTCAGAATCAATACACTTTATACACCCAGCTGAAGGAGCAAGGCAGTTTATCTTCCCACTGCACACTTTTTCTTGTCCTACAGCTGAAAAATGATCCAATAAACATCACTGCTGTAATTTCACAACACAGCACATGTACAGAGCAAAGCTGTCAGTCTCCCTATGGAAACTTCACCAACTGGCTTCCTATTACTGCAAACTCTTCTTGCATTACTGCAAGCTCTGTTTTTCCTCTTGTTACTCTCTCCTGTCCCAGAACATCTCCATCCTCTGMAAACCAGTGTTTGCTTCTCTTTGTGCTTCTCAGAATTTTCATAGATCTTATGTTCAATCCTCAATCCTACACCATGACAACAGTGTCCCTATTGACAGGAAAGCTGTAAACTACCAAAAAAAAGGCACTGGACCTACAATCCATCGTTCAACCCTGCACATTTCCTTTAGAACAGAAGTACTTCTAAGGGACCAGGTTCAGTATGAATCCAATCCAAACGTATTTTCTCCTTATTTTCTTTCCACCATGACCTCCTCCACTTCTCCAGAAAAAATAAATGCCCCCTGATGGGAGGAACAATCCAGCTCCAAATCTTGAGCACCAAAGTAGTTTTATTTATAGAAAATCTCAATTCCCTTCTAAATAGTTAATCCTAACACAGACAGAAGAGATACAACATGCCTGACTACTGATGTAAAGGCAAGTTACTAGCTTATTTTAAATTTCATCATGTTTAAAATACTTGGGATAATGACAGCTCTAAGAGCTGGTATATTTTGTACCACTGTGGATTCTTTTAATTAATTCTACATATGCTTCTTATAGTAATATCCTAACCAAACCCCATCATTTATCTGGCTGCAGGCAGGAAATACCAGACCCTAGAAATGAAGGGTGAAAACATAACCCTGCTCAAGTAAAGGCAAAATCTCCATTTGTGCAATTATACAAGCTCAAAAATCACAGACTTGCCCCCATTGTCAAGAAACAAAACAAGTTACCCAACTATGTCTGAAAAGATGTGTCTTTCACAGTAGCCTCCTCATGTTAATTTTGAATAGTTTTGAAAACCTTTTCATTTGTGAATTGAGTTTAAATTTAACTGTTAATAAATACTACTAAGATGTTTTCCAGCAGCATCATTTCCCATTAGAGGGGACCGAGTTTCATGTTAGTAAAGAATATTAAGGATATAAAGAATATTTTCCTTCTTCAGAATACAGAGAAAAGAATATTGTATAATTGGCACTAACTTGAAAAGAAATGTCACTGATCAGGCAGAAGTGTTTTGCCCCTACAGTGCTAAAGACACTCAAATCCAAGAGATAGAGGCTGTCACCTGCCTACTTAGAAGAAAAGTATAAAAAAACCTGTATTTTCCCCCTCCTACCTTGGCAGCTGCCAGACCACCTGAGCCTCCACCAATGACAATGAGATCATAGTCATAGGAATTTGGCACTGGCACTGGTGTGGGGCCGTTCACTTCCATTTTTTTCTCAGGATTGTCTTCTTCCTTATGTGCCTGAACAGAGAAAACAAAAGGTATTAGGGAACATTGGAACATTACCCGCAGTGTTCAAAAATCCGTATTTTCATTAGCAAATACCGTGATAAGGGAACATAATTGCATCTGAATTTTCTGAGCTCTGCTTTTAATTAGCTTTAAATTTCATCTTCTTAATCCAGCCATGAATAGCTYTATACCTGTCAGATAGTGAACTATAAATTTTCTTGTTCATTGGAGCACTGGGTTTCCTTGCAGAGCTTMGTCTTCCACAACAATGCAGCTCCAGTGCCTCCTTAGAAATACTCCAGGATGAGATACATAACTGCTGACACAAGCATTCCATTCTTTATTTTATTCTTTTCATCTGCCCKAGACTTTCCTAATTAGTGCTTTTCCCCTCCTCCTGCATATATTTGTAGGAAAATATAACAATCCTACGCGGCACTGTACTAATCCACGATAATTACCAGCCTTACTAATGGGATGAACAGAACTGAATGGACAAAACCATTTCTGAAAACAGCATTTTTGTAATATGTCAGTGTTTATCATTGCTTTGGTTTAGCATAACTTTGGCATCACATGGATCAAGTGTGACCACTGTGGTTTCACGAAATATTTTTTTTAATCACAACTACAACCACAGAAAAACTACCCATTAGTCCTAAAATGGATTATGACAACTTATGCCACAAAGAACATGGCACTGCCTTCATACAGATTTTCTAAAATGAGCCTTCATACTTCATTTGAGAAACTCCAATTTAAGAGGGCTTCAGACATTCAAGCCTTTGGAGTTGTGACAATATTCTTAATGCCTCTCAAACTGCAGGACAAAATCTGGAGTGAGTAAAAATCAGATTCCTTAGCTGATGTAAATCAGTGAGCTTCAAATAAAGTAATGAAAAGTTTTTAAGACCAAGCCCATAAAATAAGTGGCATACTTCAGCACTTTACAAATATGTATTTCTGTCTGCCTAGCTTGGTAAGACTGGATTTAATACTGATGGAATAGTTTGTGGCAAATCAAAGGAAAGAAAAGTCCAAAGAAGTTTCTCTTGTGTTTTCATCTAAATTTTGTTTTGCATTAAACAGCCCTTTGTACTCAACCCATTCTACTGTTGCCTTCCTCTGAAGTTATTTCCTCTGAAGTTATTCCCTCTGTGTCGCCTTCTTCTGAGGTTTAATTAGTTCTTTTCTATTACTGTGTCTACCCTACTGACTGCTGCCAGCACAGCCATGCCATTGACAAAAATCCCTTATCCCTTGGACAGATTACACAGCAATGTCAGCAGAAATTCAGGCTGTATGCCTGCAGAAAGTTAGATTGTAGTAGTATTTCATACCCTGGGTAGCATGTTTRTAGTAGAAACAACACCTAGAAAACACCTGGGAAATCATGCAAAAATACCTCATTCTCCTTCCTCTTCTCCCCCTGCTCCACCACCCCGATATAGAACCCTACCACTGAACCTACTTTGTGCTTGGTTTTCTTTTTTCTCTTTTTCTAACACAGCCTCAGACAGGATCCAACTTCCCACTGCAATCAGAGCAAAGGGACATATACTGTACTATGATATGCAGCTTCACTTCATTTGTATTTAGAGATGCAAAATCAGAGGAAAAAGTGCCATTCTTTCCCAAAGAACACCTTCTTGCTTGCTTAGTGGCAACAGGATGGTGTGAAGCATGAGGGGAGACAGTCATCAGACCCAAGTACCAAGAATGGGATCGTTATGATGAGTATAAAGAAACCACACCAACTACTCATTTGCTTAGATCACTACTTRTATCATGCTACTTCTTTTTTCTCCTCTTAAGGAAAATGCTTTTAGTTTTCACATGGATTAAGAAATTTCAGCTTTTGTTTCCTACTGTTTGGTTCATTTTTAATTAATTCTTCACAATAACTCTTTATTAAAACATATTAAAAGTTCAGGTAAGACAAAGTAGATTATAAACTTCCTCTCTTTCTAGAACCCTGCTYCAAAGCAGCCAGGTTCTTCATAAGCTCTGCATCTCTTTTGCTGTGGGAACTTGTTCATGACTATGACCCATCCTGAGAACAGATCTCCTCCACTCTTCACCCACGAATAACAACTTTTACAAGAAAGCTTACCTTCTGATGATTTTTTCAATGTCAAGACTATAAAAAAAAATTTCCCCCTACCTTTAGAATTCTCTCATGATCTCCTATTTGCTTCTCCCGTGCAGGAACAACTGGCTGGGGAGTTTCTGCTGCTGTTTGGCGCTGCCCACCTCGCAGTTTCGGGGCTCTCCCTGTGAAATAAAGGATAAAATAACAAATTGTCTGCAGAGGCGTCCTTTATGAAGGCAGWGCTCCTGGAGATGAACAGGCTGGGGGAGTGGCCTGGCAGCTTCCTCATCTGTGGCATGTCTGGCCCAGGGCAGCGTTTCCTAACTCATGACTCATTTGCAATGTTAGGATGACTTGCGATATTTTTCTGTTGAATAAAAATCCCATGCGAGAGCTGGCTGAGATTTCAGAACGTTTTGCCAATCTAACAACATGCTTGGATCAAAGCAATGAAATTGTATTTCCTGTGGCTAAGCCTCGAACTTCAGTCCTAAAGGAAAATTATGATTTTTAGCTTTCTTGCCTAAAAAGTGACATTAAAGTCTCGTACTTTGCAAACTGAATTAGAAGTTTTTAATTTTCTCCTGCARTTAGATGCCTGGAAACTTATTTCAGTTCAATGTAGTGATCAATATACTGATAAATATATTGAAAAGTCTGGAAAAAACAGTTTTCCCACTGGTCATAACTGATCTAACATATATATATATAAATACATATATATGTACATATTTATATATATAYACACATATGTACTGATCTTACATATATATCTCTGTGTGTGTGTATATATATCCAATATAGAAGTTAAAGCATATTAGTGAAAAGAAAAAAAACATATTTACACACACTGAAATTTTATTTAATGTGCCATGGAAAAGGAAAAAAATGGAAAATCGAATAGTTGATTGGAATCCATTATCAGTTCTGCCTTCCTCCACATAACTCTGAATGATGTTAAGCTTAATTTCCAATAAATGGGTCAGTACCCAGTTGTTTGTATTTAATCACACACATACTTTGCACTGTACAACCAGCATTAATTAGCAAACCCTGCCACGTGCCTGTGCTCAGAGAAARAGCCATGCTGAATGCTCTGTATCCATTCCTTGGGCACTGAGCACACAAACCTGAAAAGCATTCACACACACACACACACAGGACTGAAACAAGCCAGGAAACCGGCCTGTAACCTTGTCATCTCTGACTTCTTTTCCAAAACTTGCTGCGAAAATTCCACTACCTTGCAAAGGTTTTGGAAAGAGTCCTYTGGTGATGGTGGTAAAGGGTTTTAAAGATCAGAATTGTTATGCAACAGTTAGCAGGAATATTAGTGACGGATGATGCTTCTCCTTTTCTCATTGGGGAACATACACATGTGAAAAAAGAAAAGCAAGAACACAGGTATTGAACAGCCTTTGCAAAGCATAATTTCACAACCTTCACAAAGGTTCATTTTTTTTTCTTCACTCTGTTATATTAAAGCTACAGTCCTGTGTGTATTTGAGACAACTGAAGGAATATTTTATTCCTGCAAGTTTGAACAATCTCAGGAATGTTCACCTAAAACTGTATCTTCAGTGAGGTAAAAACCATTAGACAACACAGACATTTTTAGAAATAGCTCTAATTATTTTCAGGYAGATCCGTGCCAGAGGTGCCAAATTTTCCCAACAGCCCCAAAAGGCAAAGGCAACCATAGCCCCTGGCAGAGACTTGTAAAGAGTTTGTATTCATTTTTAATTTAATTTTCAGTTGGCTGGCTCTGCTGCTGGGGGCCTCTCCCTTGTTGATTTGGGCAACCTGCCACAAGCAGGATGACAAAGCAGAAAGTGCTCTGTGTGTCACCAGCTACCTCTCCATAGAATTCCATCCATTAACAGCAGTTGTGATAACCCACAGTCCTGGGGAATAATCGATACTCTCCAAAAATGAATCAGCAGACACCTTTTTGCAGAGTGAGACTGCTAAAGAGAACCTGAACCATGGRCCTGCTCTGGATAATCCTCAGAGATGAGATGGATGAATCCCTTTGCCTGGTACGGATCAGTGTTATTTCCTTGGTACCAGTTCTGGCAGACATCCGACCTGTGCATGGGATAAATCAACTCACTAACCCAGGAGAAAACTAACCCAAGAGAAGAAAAGTGATGGCCAGTTTCCCAGCAGCCTAACAAGCTCAGCCAGCTCAGGGAACCATCCTGTGAGCCCCACAGCTGGTGCCAGGACAAAGGAATTCCCATMCAGACCAGTATAGAGCAAGAGAAGGAAGCATCACCTCTCGCTGGTAGTGGCAAAACTGCCAGTTTTGCTCAGAACTTGTTAAACCAGAAAAAAATCCCAGCTTTTAAGCCTTGCTTCTTGAGCAGAGATAATAGAGTGAATCAACTATGGTATTTTTAATCCATATGCTTCCTCATTGGGAGTGAGCTTCCTCACAAACCAAAGTCCTCCCTGCCACCGAGGCTGTTGAACTTTTGACTGTTGGTTGTGTAACTTCTGGCTGGGCTTAAAAAAAGGCATGATTGGTTTTAGAAGGCTTTGATCAGGTGGGAATAGGAGCAGCTCAACCCAACAGCCAAGACCAGCTTTGTAAGCAGAACTGCTTCAGGATAAGAATTGGCTTACTGTGCAAAAGCCATGCAGGGATCCCATCAGCTGCAGAGGCAGGACATGGGCATGGAAAGGGCTTTCCCTTCAACACTCCCTCTGAAGGTCTAGAGTAGGCAAAAGTTTCCACTGATTTATGCAGATTTTCTGTATCACTAGGGTGAACATTACCAACAAGAGAGAACTTCACATTTTTGACAAACTGCAATTTAAAAAATAGTTGTCTCTACTGAAGGAATTCAAGAGATGCCCCTAAATTTTAATGCTTCTGAGCAAGCACGTAACTTATTTTATGGCCCTATCTTCAGTCATTTGGGAAGTACAGGCTATTTCATATGACAATGAATGTTTACATTCTGTCCAAGAGAACATTTTAGGCAAAGAAATTTTCAGGTTTTCCTTCTTCTAGATTTGCTCATTTCTGCWYTATCCTCATAGGTCACTACCTCCTYTATTGCACAAACTCAAACGTTCAGTAGTGACGGCAACAGAGCCATTACACCATTCAGATAACCCAGGAAAAACCACAAGCTCTTAAAATAAACACCACCAGCCTGGACCATATCAMAAATGCACCCTGAGAGGCTGCCTTGCAATCAGCTGAGCTGACAAAACTGAAAAGAACTGGAAGCAGCCTGCAGTTTTTTGGTGTCATTTGCTTTACCTRYTAAACTGTCTTTGTCCCAGCCGTGAGTTTTCTCACTTTCACTCTTCCAATTTTCTCCCCATCCCACCAGGGAGGAGGGAGTGGGGCTGAGCTGCCAGCTGGGCTCTCAAGTCAAAAAACACATCAAGCTTTAAGACTTGACAATCAAAAGAGTAAAGTGAATTTTCCTAAGAAATCAGAAGTTCTCCGAACTATGTTATTGCTCATATTTATCCAGTGTTTTACTGCAAAACCCTTTAATTTTGATTGTGTTCTTGTTAATGCCCTTTTCATAACGAAGAGCTTAAAACTTCTTCCATTTAAATAAGGGRTGTTTGGATGGGATCAAGGTATAATGTAGAACAACTGAACTTTGCAAATAGCTGAAGCAAGGCTCTACTTTGTCGGATTTCTGTTTATGAAGTCCTGACTGTAGTACGTAGTATTGCTCCAAAACACCTATTTCCTTCATGAAAATATAAATTCTTTGGTTTTACCCCAATTATCTGAGTATAAAAAGCATTTAAAGTGAACTCCAAGAGTGCCGAGACCTATAGACACAAACTTTCCAATGTAAGTGTTGGATCTCCTCCTGTTGCAGAAGAGAAAAAAAAAAAATGTAACAAAGGCAATTTATATATGAAAAAGGCAGAAACTGTCAGAAAGCCCCACAGCACAATATTCTCAAAGGACAGTGAAAATCTACTGACAACTGTTAATCTAATCACTATATAGCAGGACAGGAATTATAAAAAAACCAAGACAAACCAAAGAAGAAATAATGACAGAGGAATGATGAATGCCAGATATCACATGAAAGACAAACTTTCARGTGATATCTGTCTGAGGGCCTGAATYAAAGCTGTCTATGCACAGTGGAAARGTTTCCACTCAAACAAAGGCATTAAGTGACAAAATTCACACTTTCAGCTTAATTTTTCAATGAAATCTGGGGACTGACTCAACAACATTCTCCAATCTGTTTTCCACTCAAGACAGGTCAGCATTGTTTTTAGAGGGCTCCAATCCTCCACCTTTATGTCCAAGAAGAAACTAGGGCAAGAAATTAATCACTCAAACACCTCTTCTCTAACAATCAGTCCATCAAACTTATAACCTGGCTCATCCTCTTAGTCCGAAAAAAAGGGGCTCTGAAACCAGTCTCAGTTTCTAGTTCCTAGCAAAAAAGTAATTCCTACTTCCAGGCATTTATTTTCCTTTTGCTTTTCTAAGTATTCATACAGCTACCACAAAGTCCAGCGGCTTCATGAAAAAAAATATTTTACTTTACTGATTTCAACAGGGACATCATTGTTCTCCTTGGTTTGTTATGAGAAGTCTTGTAAGACATGCTTCTGCCATAATAATTATGGAATTTTAAATCCCACTCCAACAAGAYCTGGGTTTTGTCACACACTTTCCTGGCAGTGCTCTCACCCACAAAAGTTCCTCAGCAATATCAGACAGKGGATACTTGCCCTTGAAAGTCTCCAGCCACTCCTCATTTCTTTGTAATTGTTTACAGTAAACCATACAGGAATTAGCCAGGTTGCTCTAATTAGCAATAATAGGGATGTTTTCCGTGAGTATAACATCACATACTGACCTCAAGTATTTCTAGAACATCTACAATACAAATTCTGTTGGCTTTAACTGAACAAGCTGTACAAAGTTAACAAAAGCAAATTTCAGATTCTCTCTTCCTCAGTAAAAGGCAGCCAATCTTTAATTATGTATCTTTGACATCTTCCATTTTATTTTATTGTGAATTAAAGTAGGTTATGAAAAATTTAACATAAGACTTYTCTGCCTTTGGAACTGTGGTAAAAGCTACAATATCTCATATAACAATTTCTATACAATCTTCATGGAAAATATCATCTTCCAATACCAGTAATTTCAACATAGATTTTTCTCTACTTCCTTCAAAAGTCACTGCTGCTTTTGGATTGCCCCATGTTAGTATAATGCTTTGTCAAATCCAAATCAAAAGAAAGGAAGCTGAGTTCTGCTATAACTACCTGTCAGTGTATCATGCTCACACTGCCTTCCAGACTGGCTCACCCTTCATTTGGGGTGACCTGAAAAAGCTCAGCTTCCTGACTTTTTCTTCTTGAAATTCCTGTGGCCAACACAAACCTGTGGTTCCCACAAACTGTGATTCATAGTCTCGTGCTACTTTTTTGKTTTTTTTTTTTTCCCTGGTCAGTAAATAAACAACTCTCTGACATGAGGAGGAAGCATCAGCAGCCTCACTTGAATAAGTGTGGCACCTGAGGCCAGAGAGGTAAAACAGCACTCAGCAGGGATGGAACAGGATCTCCTGGTGCTGCTGCCATTCATTAGTCCCTACTGGCCATGCCTTTATTGTTTCCACCACAACTAAAGCCATTTACTCATTCCCACACATTTCTTTATAATCAGGCTTGCATTTGAGTCATGGAGAACATAAAAAAATTGTGGAAARCAACTTGTACACAATCAGGGTTTTTTTTGTCAAACGACCCAGTATTAAAATGGAACATGGGTAAAGGAAAACAAGTTCTTTGCAGGTAATCTCCCATGGTTTAAGGCAGGTACAACACTGTGGAAAGTACTTGGGTACTTGCCTCAGAAACCTGTGATTTTTTTATCCCCCCTAGTGGGGATTTTTTAAGAGGTGAGAAAAAAAACCCACTTACTTTAACCCAGAGTAATCAAAGTATTTTGTCTTTGAAAAACAAAAGGATTTGAGCAGAACAATTCAATCCTGCTCATAGCAGCCCAGCAAACAATGACACACTGTTATTTTCTATGGAAATAAAAGTATTTGCATGTTTTACTTACTTCCTCCCTTTGCATTTGTATCTCTTTTATGCAAATAACAATGCTGGGTCAGATAGGGTTGTAACATTAAGCCAAAAATTATGAGGGGTCACAGAATTCCATAAATGAATCCCATTATATGCTCAATATCACAAGGCACAAAGAGTACATTTAGGACAGGCAATATGCTAAGGAAAGCATCAGCTGTGAATTTTTGGAAGAAAAATAGAAGGTAAAACCAAACYGAAGATAAGGAAAAAGAGAGGGCAYCAGATATAACTGGGCAAGTTAAGGGATGGTTCTGCAAGGATGTGACACCACATTAAAAAATGGAAGTTATTTAAAAGTATGAATGAGGAAAAAATGAACAAACATGGAAAAAAAATATTTACAGGACATACATGAGCTGAGCTACAAACTGGAAGGCAGCTGCATTACAACAGGCAGGTATAAAAAACAGATATCMAAACCAGGGGAGGCTTTGTAGATAAAACACTCTCAGGAGATAGCAGTGCTAAAGATAAAGGGGAACAAGTTACCAATTCAGTATACTAARTAAGCCACAGTGCACATTTTTATCTGGTATTTGGTTTGGTATTATCTGGTTTTGGTTTTTTGTTTGTTTTTTTTCTACAATTCAAACAATAACAAGACACCCTACCAAAGGGTGGCTGAGATGGAGGAACAACTTGATGGAGGAACAACCTTCAGACAGGAAAAGGCAGTGGAGTTTTATCCCCAAAGTTTTGAAAACAGAGAAACCATTAAAAAAAGGACTGCAAAAGGGAGATGAATACCATACACTCTTGAGAGCCAAGCACCATTCCTGTCCAGAGTAAAAATCAAAATGATGGCATAATTATTAACAAGGTTTAAGGAAGTACATGGGCATCTATTAAACCACATCCAGGATTTGAGTTCACTCCACTTTTCTGCACAAACAGTGCTGTGACACATCTGTCATTGTCACCGGAGCAGCTCACATGTAAATTATATGGTCAACACATTTCCAGGAAATACTGCAAAAGTAAAAATATTTGTGGCCTCATTCCTCAGCCACTCAGCACATGTAAATGCAAACAGAATTTAATCACCACTACTGTTTGTCCTCCAGCTGAACCAGTCCATAGCACAGTTATGCTGCATTCAGAGGCTCTCATATTAACATTAAAAATGAGGAACAGTGATGTTAAAACTACTTTGTTAACCCACTTTGAAGAATTCAACCCGAATTTCATTCTCAGGCTTCTTTCCAGGCCCACCAGTGAGTGTGTGCTGTGTCCTGAGTGCCCAATCCTGAAAGGATTGTACATCAGTGTCAAACCAAATTAAAACACAGCCACTCATAATATCCAACTATGATGGTCTGGGATGAAAAAAAAAGAGCAGCACTCCATATTATAACAAGGTAGAGTCCCACAGAAACAAATAATATGTTTTATAAACGGAAAGCTGCAACCCAGGCTATCTTAATTCTGAGATGTGTAAGTTTTATTCCTTATTTGAATTTTTTCRTAATCCTTTCTGCAGAAAAATGCCTGTCTATAATACAGAAAACTAAGTAAGTTTGCTAAGTGGAGATAAATTAACAAAAAAAAAAAAAAAAATCAGGAAAAGCATTCTTTTCTGAGTTACTTCCAATTTTCATACCTTTACACTTACAAAATGTTGCAAATATTGCATGTGCAAAATGCAATTGTTGAAGTAAACTGAATGCTATTTGATGATTGAGAATAACCCGTTTGAAAGCACAAACTATAGACACTGGAATGTATTTAAGAGCTTTGTTATKCAAACTATATATAAGCACCTAATCTTAATATTTTTACTTTTTCTTGTGCTAGACACCATTTTTCTTGCCAGTTTTGCTGATTGGCAGCTTGCTACTCTTTATGTTTTTAACATTTTTAGATCTTATAGTGAATTAATAACTGAATTTATTATTGTCATTGATTAAAAAGATGGAAGGGTGGAAAAAATCTGGAGAATAAGAAATTCTTACAGCTGTCAACAGTCCAATTTCTCTCTCGTATTGCACACAAAAGCTTAAATACACTTTGTCCAAGGGATTTATTTGATTTTAAAACAACTGATTTTAAAACAACTGATTTACTTGATTTTAAAACAACTCTACTGCCTGGTATGGTCAGCTATAGGAAGGGCTTAATTTAGATTGTTTGTGTTTTAGAGTCAGTTAAACAATGAGTATTTAGCTTATTTGAATTATGTTTCTGTTTMAAAATAAATTTGTATCTCCATTCACATTTCTGTAACTGTTTTTGTTTTAATCTTCTATTTAAGCTCTTCAACAGCACCCACWGCTCCCCTCATCTCTTGTGCTTGATGGAGACTAAAAACTGATGTGTTCCTTTGGGAAACGGAGATTGGGCTTCAGATAATAATTTACTCATATGCAACAATCCCAGAAGCAAAGCAAAATATWAACTTTGTCTCACAGTTTAAACCAACCTTCCTGGAGAATTACTTTAAGATGTTGCCAGAGTTGTAGAATAGGCAACAGGCAGAATTAATGTCTTAAATTGAAAAACCAAAGATACAGCAGAGCATATAAACCAAAGCCCAAACAACATGTTGTTTTAAGTMATTTAGCCTAAATGAGTCAGCTTCACCAGGCTGAAAAAGCTCATAAGGATGCAGGTTTCATTTCTGAGTTTATGCCAGCAGATATATTGCTGTTCAGAAGAACCAGGTTTGGGTATAACTCCAGAGCTCACTCTGCCCAGACTCTGTGTTACCACACCTGCACCAGCTTCCAGCATCTGATTTAAAACTAAATTAGGTACTTTTAAATCATAACATGATAGTGGCAGCATTAGGTAAGAGAACAGGTGTCAGGCCACAGCACTGTCCTGAAAATACAAGGACAACTGGACTCTCAAGACAGTAGTTTGAGATTTTTCTTTTTTCTTTCTTTTTTTTTTTTTTTTTTTTTTTTTTTTTTTTTTTTTTGCCCCCTGCACCAGTCCCTCCTCTTAGGATCAAGGAACATCTAGTGGTTCCAATGYTCAGACCTGAGAATTTTATATTGGTATAATTGAAAGATAGTAAGCAATATGGAGCCATAACAATTAGCCTGTTTCAAGAGTTTTAACTGTTACAAACCTCATCTTTGTATTTTCCAGCTCCTGCTGTGCCTTATGCAAATTYTCATTGCACAGGCATCTTTATTTTTTTGTTTGCCAAGGCTCTGACAATTTCCATCCTGCATAATAAGATTTAAAATATTGTATAACACCTTAAAGGCTCTCAAGGTGATTTGGTGTCAATGTTCTCAAATTACTGCAGGTATAAGAACATCTTTAGAAACAATCCCCTCTCCCAAGGATTTGGTGGAGTTGAAAACACTCCTACAGCAGCACATGCTCAATGAAGTACTGCATCCTAAGAGTACTTTTCATTTGGGCAGAACTGCTGCTCAGATGTAAGCACAGGTTCATTTTCAGGCATTCATGACTTTCAAGCCCATTATTTATCTTTTTTTCATCGGGTTTTATAGACCTAGTGAGAGCACAGTTAAAGCCATGCTCTGGGAAGATTTCAGGCTGAAGTTCTGACWCGGATGAGGTACAGAGCACTCAGCTGAAACACAAATATCCTCACTCTGTCGTGGGAAGATGCTTCAAAAGAAATCGTCTCCACGGACCAGGGGGCCAGACAACTCCTATCTAAGCACAAACCGTGTTCCTAATCCCAAATCTTGTCCCCTGTTGGGTCGCACCCCCAGCATGGCCCCACATGCGGGGGACCCACAGCCACCCCTCTGAAGGCACGGACAAGTTGTCCCGCAGCGCTCTATCCCCGTTCACAGCAAGAGAACGACTGGCCGGCTGTTTCACCGGCAACCGGAGCCGTTCCCTCCGCGCTCGGAGCCCACCCGGTGCCTACCTGCCGGGGCCGCTCCGCCGGGCGCCTGCCGCACCGCCTGGCTCTTCCGAACCGTGCTGCCCATGGCGCGGCTCC